GCGGTGCCACGCCCATTTTCCAAAATTTTACCATAAACGTATTTCTTGGTAAAGAATTGTTGCAAGCATCAATTTTGAATAAATTAGCTTCAATATTTACTGATTTATCGAAGATTTTGTATTTCTCTAAATTACCGTTATATGGGATGTGGGCGTGGTTATTGTCCGATTTTAAAAAGTTTCGGCGGTTTTTTATGCTGTACGAAGGCCAACAACTGTGCCAAGTTTGGAAGAAATTGGTGCAGCGGTTACCAAGATATACACATGTAACCATAAGTGGGCGTGGCTACGCCCATTTTCCAAAAATTTATAATATTCTTATTTTTCGTCTAAAAATTATTGTAAATATCAATTTTGAGTGAATTATCTTCAGTAGTTACTAAAATATCGCAGTTTTCGTATTTCTGGAAATTACCGTTATATGGGAAGTGGGCGTGGTTAAAGTCCGATTTCGCCCATTTTCAATACCAACCTACCTTGGATTAAGGGAAACCTACATACCAAATTTCGTTGAGATATCTCAATTTTTGCTCGAGTTATCGTGTACACGGACAGACGGACAGACGGACAGACGGACAGACGGACGGACAGACAGACATGGCTTAATCGATTTCTTTTTTCATCCTGATCATTTATGTATACATTTGTCTATATCTATCTCGATTCGTTTTGGCTGTTACAAACAACCGTTATGTGAACAAAATTAATATACCCTTGTGCACAAGTGCGCTCGGGTATAAAGATAAAGACAAAAATAAAAACAAAAACAAAGATGCGTACAGATAAAGGCAAAAGTCTAGATCAAGGTAAATTTAAACACTTTACTTAAGTGAAGGGGAATATGTAGATGAAGAAAAGTATAAACACAGAAGTAAAAACAAAGATAAATATAACGAAAAAGAGGAGGATGAGGATACCGATACAAGTAAAGATGAAGATATAGGAAGACAGATTAAAATGAAGGTAATTATAGAGAAAAGGATATAGATGGATATTCAGACTCAATCCGTGAACTATTTTGGGATTTTAGGGATTCTCGGGACTTATCGATATTTTCATCGGTTTTGTTATCGATTTTGTTATTGAAATTTTTATCGATATCGGTATCGATTTTGCTATCAGTATCTGCGGAACCTATCGATATTTTGATCGATTTTGTAATCGATGTTTTAAAGATTTTTTTATTGATTCTTTTTATTGATATTGCTATTGGTTTTGTTATCGATATTGGTGTAGATTTTATTATTGATATTTTTATCGAATTTGTTATGGATTTTCTAAGCGATTTTGGATATCGATTTTATTATCGCTATTTTTATCGATTTTCTAATCGATTTTGCTACCAATATTATTATCGATTTTGCTATCGAAATTTTTATCGAATTTGTCATCGATTTTGTTATCATATCATATTTGAATAGTTTTGTTATCGATATTTTGTTGGATGTTACTATCGAGTTTGTTATCGATAGAGTATAAAGATATAAATAAAGACAAAGGAAAACAGAATAACATACATAAATGAAATTAGAAGGAACAGGGGTAGAGGTAGGGATCTAGATAGAAAAAAGAAAAAAAATATAACCTTAAGCAAAAGCAGATTTATGTACATATGTATGTATTTATATTGGTTGTGAAACAAAATATATATGTAACTTAAGTTTCACTTCTCCAGTGTGACCCAGGCGCACTTACTTCTTTTTCTTATAATAAATATAACATCAAATATCGCCGAAACCGTGCTTTTGGCACTTTACGGTTAGGATACCTCAAAATCCTGACGTCCTAGAGCCCATTATGTTGTCAAATTTGGAAGCAGCACCAAAAAATCTACAAGAAATGATGTGTTTTACTGAGGTGGTAAAAAAAGTTCACATTTGTCGAACTGTGTAATCTATCACCTAAAAAAATGGCTGCAATTTAAAACTTGAGTAAAATAATAAGAAATTTGTTAGCAAAATCAAAAATTATTTAGTATTAAAAACACAAGATCACAACACTAAATTTTGCTAATAGCAATGAATTTTATGCATTTTATTTTTATTTTCAATTTCACTTCTGACTTTTCCATTAGTTTTCCTTGTATTTTTGTTTCCTATTTTGCAGTTCCTACATACTTATAATGCCAGTATACATTTTTGTATGCATTTGCAGGGATTTTCTTAACATTTCACAATATACATACATGACTATGCTCAGTAAATGAATTATATATTTGTAAATGGCAACCAACATTTGTACTCATACAAAGTTAATTTTTGTTTTTTTTTGCACACAAAAGCGTTTATAAATATGTATTTATAATAAAATGAATATGACGGCATTTTGCAATGTAATGTAGTTCTTATGTTTAAGCAAATAAATTTTCATTATTAATGCGTTAAATATTTTTGGAAATAAATTTTCATTTTTATTGTTTATTACAAGCATTATGGTTTTATTGTTGCTGTATTGCAATCAACTTTAAGTAGATATATTTTGGGTTGTACTTATTTATTGGAAAACTATGAATTACTAGTAGGTTATGACTTTGTTGCTGTCGAAGTTAATGCGCTATAATTAAGAGCGAAATACACCACACAAGCGGTTTGACAAACCAAGCGAAATTTCCCTTTGCTTCAAGCCATTTGTGCTGTATATGGGGGTGTTTGAAGGTTTGACCCCCATATACAGCACAAATGGCTTGAAGCAAAGGGAAATTTCGCTTGGTTTGTCAAACCGCTTGTGTGGTGTATTTCGCTCTTTAGCTGTTGATTGAGCACATGGATTTTAAATAATAAAGAGCCATTAATGGATTTGAGTTGACGTGGATATGTACATATGTAGAGTGTGGGGCGAAAATTACTGTCACCATTATTGATGGATGAGCGGTGTGTAGTTGTCATAAACATGTGTGAATGTGTAGGAAATTTTAGAATTGAACTCCACTTAAATTCTTAATATACATACACTGCCGGAAAAAAGTATTGGCACAGCGAATTTTTCACAATATATGCAACAATTTGTATTCAAATATTTTCCCGCAACTTTTTATAAAAAAAATGGTTCATTCTACAATAAAAAACTAAACTTTGTGCAAAACTCGCGAAAATTGAATAAATTTTAATGCAAATTTTCAACTTTTTAATCAGATTTTATATGTCCATATGTTCCTCATATATTATAGGTTGAGGAAAGTAGTTGAAGAGGTAGGAGTTTACGTCTCTGTAGTGACAGCCAACATGCATTGGCCCGTCCTCTGCCGAGAAGCTAAGACTCTCGAGAGTATCCGGCAGAGAGACATCAGAACATTTGACTACAACAGGGCTTACTGCAGTTTATTCGAGATCGCGTAGATCTAAACCAAATTAAAAGGAGTGGTAAGTATCTGAGTGCTGTTATCTGCACGCGTTCTTTGCATTTTTCGTTCGATGGAAAAATTTATCCAAAAAACTCGCATCTTATTTATGTCTAAAAAATTGAGATAATTGTTTTTCACAATGGGACAACATCGGACAAAAATAGTAAAACCAGACCAGCGAATTCTTAAAAAGCAATTAATCAAATCAAAAAGAATTTTTGATAAAACTGCATAATAGCAGTTATGAAACTAGTTTTTAAAAGTTACAATGTAAAAAATAGATTTGTAAAAAGAGTGATTTTGTCGCATGTAATTTAAATTAATATTTCAACAACATTTCTTCATCCCTAAGTCCTGAATAGCGGGTATACGAAATTTCAGCGAATTCGTAGTACGGGGACTACTTTTGGGCGCAGCTTATTTGGGGACGTCCCACTGTACGGGCTTGAGAAAGTGGAAACAGTTTTTTGTTTTTTACTAAAAATTTCCTTATTCAACTGGTTGCATTAGATCAAAGCATCTAACTTGATTAAATGATTTTCGGATCAAAAATGTACAAGTTTTGGATACTTGTTGTACTTACATGGACCATTGCTTCTGGTATCGAAAATGTCAAAAATTGTTCTGAGTTTTTTCTTCTAAATCAAAGCGTCCCATATGAAATACAAAAAATAAAAAATTTAAATTGGAAAAAATTAAAATGGTTGCAACTTTGTTTCTTAGCAAATTCGTTTGCTTCTCGATGCATTTTGATTCTTCCTTTGCAAGGCCCAGTAATCAGCGACTGTGCTGCTGAGTTGAACGAACGTTCCAAAAGCTTCTTTTGAATAACTCGTTTTGTATAGAAAAAGGTTTCACATGCAGATAGATTTTAACAATTTAGAATTTTTGTGAGAAGAAATTAAAAATATTTAACATTTTCGAGACCAAATAATTTGAAAAAATGCAATCAGTTGCTCTACTGATACTATCTGTTCAATGTGCTTTGTTACTAAGTAAGTATTTTACACGTCACATTAGCCGTGGGTAACACAGTCCGGCGCCGCGCCATTGCGCTGATACCGAGAACTGAGTTACTGGCGCCGATACCGGTTTTCACAACTCTGTGACGCAATGGCGCCAGCAACACCGGAACACTAACGGCACCGGGCGGTAAGTGTGTCAGCGCCAAAAAATTTGCGCCGTTACCCAGGCCTACGTCACATTGTTAATAAGTATGTATTTGTGTTCGCTGATTAAAATTTTAATGCATTTGTTAATATTTTTTCATTAACCTCTTCATTTTACACGTAGTATACATTTTGGTTTGCCCACTTTTTTTTGAAGGGATCTTTTGCTGTGCTGCAATTTCGTCATGGAGTTAGGAGTATATAAACTATTTAAGTGTTTTTAAGCTTATTATGTTATTTTGTATGTATATAGCTAGGTGTATGTTTATTTTTTGTTGGTATGTATGTATACTTAAATACATGCATATGTATGTATGTATGTATATATTGCATATGACGGTTTTGCATTTGCTGGTGTGTATATTTGTATGTACGCATGAAAATACTTTATTTATTTCTGTTATTCAAACTTTTATTAATAAGTTCTAATAAAAATGGTTTTTATGTACCTTTTATATTTTTTGTTTGTTTGTTTTTTTTTCGTTTCTATGCGATTGATATGGTTAAGTTGATGAGTTGTGTTGACATTTACTTGAGCTGTCAATTCTGAGTTGTTGACGTTTCGGTGACATTTGCACTTGTGCATGCATGTACATACATACTTACTAGAAATTACATATTTATATTGGTTTTTCGTATTCAAAACTAGTTATGTACGTACATATGTATGTTTATCTGACATATTTATTTTAAAGTAATTGGAGTTACTCATTAATTTCACTTTCTTTTATTTGGATGTACTATGTGTGTGTATGTATTGCAGAATATATCATTTTGTTTTGAGTTCTTCATTAATTTTCGCGTGTTTATTTTATTTGAAAAGCCTGGCTGTTTTATATAGTACAAATACAATACATTAATACATGTAAATATTAATATTTGTTGGAGAAGGTGGCTAGGCTGAGTTCTGCTCTGTGGTAAATATTTTTTTTTATATGTTTGCATTTTGTTATAAATATTTGCAAGTGTCCACTTAACCATTATGTGTAAGTATCGTATTTCAAAAGTATTAAGGTGTGTGCCTTTGTTTTAAAATTTTTGCATTTTTTTATTTTTAGCTTTAAGAAGACACAAGTTTAAATTGACGCATTGTGACTGAGTGTTAAAAGTGCAAAAATATAAATATGTATATATGTACATAAGTATTGAATCGTTTTCCTTTATTAAGTATTTCTTAACTAAAACTGTATTAACTTAAATAGAGCTTTAATGCAGATATTTACATTAGGTTGGTCCTTAAAATATCAACAACCAAATTTTTTATGAGGAACGCCTTGATTTTATTCTACGTATATTTAAAAAGACATCCAGGAAAACATCAAAAATTAAAAGAAATATTTAGGGACCGTTACCAGTGCTTGAAACATTTAATTTTTTTAAATGGCAAAAATTTTGACTTGAAATCTGACAAATGGAACTTATTCACTATCAAAATTTTCGCGGATGTCTTTATTTTATACGTAGAATAAAGTAAAGGGATGCTCTATGATGTTGATGTTTTAAGGACCACCCTAATGTACATACTACATAGGCCGTCGAAATTCATAGCGTTACCAGAAAAACTATAATTAAATTACATGGCCAATGTATGGAAACCCGAAGAAATGTTGATTGATATTGCAGTTTAGTCCCTCAACGAAAATATGTCCCAAAGGACATTGTCGCTCAAAGAATTTAAGCTTTTCAGGGTGCAGGAAACTTTGTTACTTATGCAAGTACTTAAAGTTCATTTTGTCGGGTTGTTGGGAACAGTGCATTTAATAAATGCCCCAAAAATCAGATAAATCAAATCGCGATAAGTTTGGTAGTTATTTATATTTACGGTTTTTATTGAGTTTTTCAAAACATCAGAGCTTTTGAGCTTTAAAAGTTTTGAATAAACTAAACGTACTATTCGAAAGAACAACTTGACAGAAAATTATACCTTCTCATCGAATAGCATATGTTTATGAAACTGGTGATCAAAAGGCGTCGGAAACTAAAGTTATGGCAAATTAAAACTTTACATATTGGATAAGAGCCCAACAAATAAATGCTTTCGTGAAAAAATTGTCCAACTCGGCTTAACTTTGGTTATTTCAAATGTCCACAAATATGTATGTATGTACGTTTGTCCTAGTAATTGAAAATTTATTTATTCAGTGCATTAAAGTATTATTGGTTAAAAGGCGAATTTTTTTCACAACAAGCTATCTTAAATAAATAACAATGACTAATAATGGGAGAAAATTATCGGTCACCGCTTAACAATTGCGTTTGCACCATCATTTGCTAGAAAGATTTTTTTTTATACATATTTTTTTAATATTGTATAACTAGGTCTGCATATTTCATATACGACACTATGTAATACACTTTCAGACGATTAGTTATGTTCAATGTAAGTATTTATGTGTTGTTTGTTCTCACAGACATACATATGTATCTACATACATATTTATGTGAGACATGCATTTCATTATTAATCATACTAAGTATTTAATTGTTTTAAATATCTATAAGTAAGTATATGCCAAAGTATATGTATAAATATTAAGCTACATTTTCTTTAATTTAATTATTAATTATAAATATTTATCTTTGTTTGAGTTTTTGTTTTTTTTTCTTAGTAATTCTTTTTAAGTACCTACTTGTCGTTTTAATTTGTCAATACAATAATCAAATAATTTGGTTCTGCCTCATTTTGACTGCTTTCCGATTTTTGAATATCAATTCGAATTATATCCGATATTTTTTTTTTGTTTGGTTTGGGGGTTTCATTTAGATGCGCCGATTTTAGGTTTGCTGTATAGAACTCAAAAATGCTGGATCAACAGAAGCAACTTTGGCTGTCAAAAATGCATGCATACAAAAGAGTAAACTTTGCAGCACTTGGCATTCCAGTTCCTGTTTTAGGCAAGAAATATATGAAACAATGAAAAGGGTTAAAAATATTAATTTAGTTATTAGAATTGAGAAATTTAAAAAGTTAAAGAAATACATATCAAAGAAAAGCAAATGTACTACTTATCACTAAATACATTATTTTATCATTTTATATTTTTAAAAGGAGTGGAAAGGTATTGATATGCTAACTAATTGTCATAAAAAACTCTGAACTCTTGCAAAGTTGTTTTCCGTAATTTAACAAATTAAACTCTCTTGACACAAATGTTCCCGAAATTTCATTGTGAACTAAGTATGTATGTATGTATATCTCCTAAATTGTTTGCTGTCATTATTATAAACTCTTCCTACTTGATTGAAATACATAGTTGTGTATTAAAATTTCTGCAAACTTACCACCCAGTTTCATCGAACCTAAAACTTGCTTCAAAATAACAACACAGCTTTTAAAAAATATTCCACGACAAATACTCAAGTAAAAAGCTCTAAACACAATGACAATCGATATGTGGGTCACTAAGTTACAATCACTGCAGCTGTAAGCATAAAATCGATGTTCAACAATGAGTAACAGCAACAGCAATTCAATACCGTTCCTGGTTCGCAAATGCAACGGCAACTTCATCACTATGTAAACACTAAATCATAATGATCATACAAAATACAATGAACTACTGCAGGCACACTATTTTTTTCTGGCTGCGAAGCACTTCTCAAGAAAGTTTGTATAAACTCAGCGCAGAATTGTATTTAAAAAAGGTCTACATAAAGCAGTGGTCGGGTTGGGAAATCGGAATTGTAATGAAAAGAAAATAAAAGCATTCAAATGAAATCATTTGGGCATATTCCTCTGCCCAACCTCTGTTCCGGCTGCGGCGTTTTCGTATGAAAGGCAACATGAAAAGATCAAAAACCAAAAAACGTAGCACGAGGAGTTGTTGCTTTTGCAGGCAGAGAGATGGTACTTAAGAAAAGCAAAAAAAAAAAAAATATAAGCGCCCATTGCGTGCTCACATTTTGGCTAAGTATTTGGCCGAGCTTCTCCTCCAATTCGTGTTGTGCGCCTTGTTGTTATAGGACAAGTTGAGAAACCGACTATTTTAGGCCGCCTTCAAATGCCAAATGGTTTTATGAGAAGCTTTTTGTTGGCAGAAATTCGCTCCGAGTGGCTGCCATTGTCTGCCGAGAAGCGACTGTGGATTGAACCTGCGTGTTAGTACGCAGCTCTATCCACACGCCTATGCCGGCCGTTAAAACGTAAAAAAAAACGGGGAAAATGAAGAAATAAAAATTCTAACAAACTGAAATAAAAACTGAGCAGCGAAAACCAAACTATATTTAGTATAACTTCACTACAACTTCAGCATGGGTCCTTGTTATTCATACTCTCTTCATCTTTTGTTTCGTGCTTTTAAATTCGCAAAAAAGTCAAAGCGAACATTCAGAAATGGCAAAATGGTACTTTGATATGGCTGTCACACGGCTTTGTCGACAGTCGACAGTTGCATGCAAGAGCTACTCGCCCCCGTCGACTTTATTCTTTTACCCTCTCACTAGTGCTGAACTCATTACCATCAATCATACGCGATGCGGAATGAAGGGATGTCGGCTGGAGTTGGAAATGTGGAGTGTACGTTGGTAGGCACGCTTGAATATATGTACATACATATGAACTAGGGCTGTGCGATTAATTGATTATTCAAAATTTTAATTAAACACAAAGTAAATAAGTCAATTATTCGATTAATTGGAAATAATTACTCGAGTAATCCAGATTTGTGATTAACTAAAAACAAAAATATTTGAGTAATTTGCTCTATGATTAATCAAGATTTTGAGTAAAATGAGTAATCTACATTTCAAAGTATTCTTTGTAGTTGAAGTTCTTTGATACCTTGAAAACAACGTTTCTGTTTTCAAAAATTCAAATGAAATATTTTTTGTTCCATATACAAAATGTAAAAAAGAAAATAAGCATTTCCAAAGCAAACTCTTTTAACTAGCAAAATTAATTTTTTTGAGTAATCATATGTCAAGTAACTCGATTAATCATCGTTTTGAGTAATCAAAATCTTGATTACTCGAGTAATTGATTAACCGAATAATTGATTAACTAACTTGCTCGATTAATCGAATAATCGCACTGCCCTAATAAGTACATTAGGGTGGTCATTAAATCTAGGAAGCAAATTTTTACTTCAGATTTCCTAAGCCTCAAGCCATACGTGGATGTCGAAGTTGGTTCCGATTGGCGACGGTTAAGGCGTGTCGCACAGGGGATAAATTCAGATTCCTCTATGGTAACTCAAAAAATTAAAATTAATTTCTTTTTCACCTAATACCCAAAATCGATACTAACATAGTCGAAGACATGACATATAAATATTGGTCCCGATATCAAAGAAGACGTCTTTGCCGACTCCAATCGGGACCAAAATTTAAATGCGATATATTCGACTTTAGTAGTATCGATTTTGGGTAGGTTCTATTAAATGAAAAAAAAAATTCAAATTTTTTGAGTCTCCTTAGAGGCCTTTGACCCCTTTTGCGACATGCTTTAATCGACTCCAGTAGTATCGATTTTAGTTAGGTATCAGGTGAAAAAAAAAATCATTTCAATTTTTCGACTCCCCGTAGAGGACTCAGAACTTTGCCACCTGTGCGACACGCCTTAGCAGTCTCCAATCGGAACCAAAATTTATATGTGATATCTGTGACCATGGTATTATCGAACACTGAAAAAAAATCGTTCTTTTGATTTTTAAGTACTACCCTAATATACATATGTATGTATTTCCATATGAAATATGTAATAAGTTATGGTGTTCGTATGTTTGTACTTACTTTTGTTTCAATTGCACGCGTTTCATGATCCTGAAAATGTAGTTTTAATTTTGATTTTCCATCATCGCTCGAACCGCGTAGTTGGGAGAATTTATATTGCCAAACGATGGCCGAGTCGGCGCCTTCCGCTAGCGAGAAGCCAGACTGCCAGTCCAACGTCAGGCCACCGCTTTTGCCGTGATGTGAGACGGCGAAAGTTTTGCGCTAGGAAATGAGGAAAAAGTAAAAAGTGTGTGGTTTAAAGTAATCAGGAGCTATTTATGTAGTATCGAAAAAAAGGGTTCACTTATGAATACCCAACGAACAAAATCACAAAACCATACACTTAGGAGTGATAATTTGTTTAAATAAAACAAAGTATACAAAGGAATAAATAAGCGAGAGCATTTAAAAAAAAAAACTAAGGCCTGGGCTCTTTGTAGTCTTCGTCTCTATTATATAGGCTGTATTCCTTCTGAAAAGTATTTAAAAATAAAAACTACATCGCTTTGGCGTGGCCATCAATAAACACATATGTAGATACAAAGCCAAAATGCCAAGCAGTAATAAAATGTGATTCTCGATTTTTGCTCACACAAAGTACAAACGCATTGCCTTTCATGCAAGCAATAAAAAATCCCAATACGCCCTCTTAAATGGTGCGAATATACGTTAACTGTTGGTTGCGCACTTGGCTTAATTTGTAAATAATGTGACAGCCTTGTGAAAATAACAAATCAAAAAGTTTGCTCACTTTTAACTTGGTCCAACGGTATATGTATTTTTACACATATTTACTGTTTACTTACATAACATTTTCTTGCAAAATAAAATACAAACGCAGTTTCACTAGCTCTATGGGCATAAAGTAGTGTTGATTGGCTTGGCTGGCAGCGCCTTTTGAAAAGCATTAGTGCGTATCAGTATTTTTTCTGTTTATAAAAACTTTCGTACTTTGCTCTTTGTGGTGTGTGGAGAGAGGACCTACTACGTAACCAATGCAATAAAATTCTATTATTTCAACAGCTGAAACTTATGGCTTTATTGAGAATTCCGCGGACACCATTACAGCTGTTAGAGTAAAAGAAGAAAAACTACTTAACAGATGATAACTGAATTTATAGGATATACGGAAACTGAGAAGAAAATAATTCTTTGTTTCTCAGCTTATATTAAACAATATTGGTTGGCCTGTATGGTATATTCGTTAGAGAAAGGTCAAACAGTTCGCAGAAACATGAAAGCCTTAGCAATGCTTTCGAAGGTGAACAACATTGTATCCTTCAAGAGTTGGGAAGCAATGTGTAGTAGCCAGGCTGAGTAGCGACGGTTTTTTTTTTGGAACCCCTCGGGGGTTTCGGCGGACGAGGAGAATATCATGGCTCGCCCGAAATTTATTGCAGCTATCAGGTCTAGGGACTTTTGGCGGATGAACCGCCTGCAGACCAACGGCTGAAGCTATTATTCCGCTTAGGGCCATCAGCAGGATGCCCGAAATCTCTAGATGGTTGCTTAATTCACAGGATAGGGGAGGATTTATTTCCATCGAATAACATTTAATTTTTTGATGCCGACCTTTCCAATGGTCTATACATATAGACCTTCAAAATACTAGGCCCAAATACCCTACTGCACTTCTCTTCAACATTAAATTGTTTTTTTGGTAATTATTTCTTAGGGCCAGTTTTTCAGTGCCAGTTTAAACTTAGACTGAGTAAACTGAGTTTAAATTGAGCAGCTGGTTGACATTTGATTGGCTGATCTTAGTTTAAACCAGCCAGATGGAGCACCGCCGTGCACTGAAAAACTGTCCCTTAATGAGGAAAATATAAAATGGTCTAAAAGTTAGATCTATACTGCGTAGGCGATGAAGTACATTCGGCTGTTGGTTTTGAAGTTTTGCGACCACTCCCGCCACACATTTTGCGCCGACTAGGCCTAACACGATGATCATGAAGCGTTCGATGGGGATACTTTAAACACCTTTCTGATATATATTTTTTTCAAACAAGCGTTTTCAAAAACAAAAAAAAAAGAAACGTAAACTAGCATTCCTTTCTTGGGCCGAAAAGTTCGAAATTCAAATAAATAAACGAGCATTTTCAAACAAAACATCACCAATGGCTGAGGACGTTGCCACAATACAGTCCGCAAATCAAGGAACACCTTATCCTTATCTACCTATGGTGTTTAGTCTAACTTAATGACGAAGTATACAGCCGGTAATAACATGAAGAATGTAAAATTCTTTCATTTATTCTTGGTTTTATATACTTATGTAAGTACATACATTTGTATATGGAAATAAGTGAGGGAGCCTTGGGCGTGTAATTCAGTTTTATCGCAAATACTATAACCTAAGTAATACATATAAAAAACCTCATAGAGCAGCAAATCGAATCTACAGTAGAACAAAGCTCAGCCTGCTTGTTGAAATGGTAATTTTGATATTTCATTTTGTTCTTATACACACTTATAACACTTAAAAACACGTTTGGTTAAGCAAGAATGACTTTATCAGAATAAAGCCTCAAGTCATTCACCCCAATCCCTATAATAAACTACATTTAATAATACACCTACATATGTAACTGAAGTATTAAGTTCTGAACACATTGAAAACGACGAGCTACCGACCACAGCTTCCAGTTTGTCATCTTTATTATCTAAGCGCTTTGTCGATGGCAACATGATTTCTTTGAACGCGGCAGCGACATCATGAATTTGTATGAGTTTGACATAAAAGAAGAGGAAGAACCTTATCTGTCGCCAGAAAAATAGAAATAGATCTAATCTGGCCACAACCACAGCCGTCGCGTAGCCCGGTCGTCGCCAAAATAATTATCTACATAAGAGTACGTGTTAAAATAATTTGACAGCTGTGGTTTGTAGCTCGTCGTTTTCATTGTGTTCGGGCTATAACTAAAATAATTGGCTTGCGTGAGACGCTACACTTAAAAGTTTACCTGTTACGAAAACTGCGCTTAATGCTTATTGCCCTGCTATTAAAAATCTAGAATAAATTTGACTTGCCTGTGATTTGTAGAAGCACGTAAGTAAATAAGTTCTTATGCGGCAAGCATTTATGGCACACTCAGCATAATTTTTTTTTAACACATTTTGATGTTGCAGACACATGTGTCGCCAGTGCGGAATCTATAGTAGTGGTCTTCGAACCAACACCCACTATGTCGCACAAAGTCATGTAAGTATGTATGTACATTCCAATGCATAATTTTATGGGTAGAAACCATTTTGTTAGCAACTTTGTATTTTCTTGCTTCTATTCATGTACATATGTACATACATTTACATATATGTATGTATATATGCACTGAAAATCACGCGACAGCTGATATCTTGATATCCTTATCGATTTCCTTTAATTTCACTTCAAATAAGTTTCATGCACACTACACACATCACCACTTTCAGCTACATACGTATGTACAATATGTTTGTTTTGTTTTTGCATGCTCGCAAATAATCGTTGCTACTGAGCGTAGTAGTTGCGAAATGCTCATGTGAAGAAGTTTGGTAACTACTGGTACCTTTACTACATGTAAAATTAGTATGTACTAAGAAAAGAGCAAAAAATATACATACATATATGTATATATATACATACGCACGTGTATTTGTGTGTAACTATGAAATCACCGCATTGAACCGGCGGTCATTGTACTTCAAGCGAACGAGCAGAGTAAAAGAGGTCCTTTGATTGCTAACAAGTAACTTTTTGGTATTACATGCTTCTACACACGAATATTTTTCTAGAGAACAAAAGTCTTGGAATAACACGAACAAAAAGAAGTGTAAACAGTCAGTGGCTACTGGACACCGTCGGAAAGTTATGTTAGTTGGAAGTTATAAAGCTCAAGGGCGGTGACGATATGCGACTTGTGAAAATAGAGACATAAGTATATGTATTTGTTAGGGTGTTCGATTGTTCAGCTTTTTTTCGAAAACCGGTTTTCGAGTTATTCGAAAAAAGCTAATTTGAAAAAAAAACCACTTCCCCATTTTCAAATTAAGAAAAAATCGGATAAACCACTTTTATTTCATGAATATTTTCTCTGTAGTAACACTTGCTGTTAGTGTTTGGGTTACCAGTAAAACAGAAAAAAGGCGTGTAAAAATTCATACCTATTTAACGGGGTACACCGATCTTATGAAAGATTAGGTCGTTAAAACAACAGTCCTGTGTCGGGGAAAAAACACGGCCTATTCATCGAAAATCTATCAGCACCTTTGTGAACTCCAACCCATTGAATTTAATCATCGGATACCAACGCCACCTATCTCAGACGAAGAACTCGAGTTACTTCAAACACAACTTCATTGAGGGTCTTGTAGCAGGTTAAACTGCTCAGTGTAATTTGAAAAAGATGTCCGACGCTACTAAGCACATCTTTATATGTTCCCGCAGTGGAAAACTTTCCAGTATTCAGATATAAAGATAACAATAACTTTCAAGTTCCATTTTCAATAAAATAAATATTTAAAACGTTTAGATTCTAGTATATAGACAAGATGGAAACCCGATTTATTTGATGGTAAAAGTCCGGCTTAATCAACATTCGAAAAATTAGGATTTCAAAAAAACCGCTTAAAAATATCCTGAAAAATTCGACCGGGTTGGAAAAATCGTATCAATCACCCTAGTGTTTATGCAGGCATGGATGTATGTGTAGTTCTCGTGGGAAATATGTTAGTATATATATCAACATATTTGCAGCTTAAGTGCCTCGTGTGTAACCGCAACTAAGCACTACATATTAGTCGTAGCTCATTTCGGTATTTCGTACTGCAGGCATGTGATTTTAGTGTCTGGACATGGTCTTAAACTGTTATATTTATAAAGGCGTGCATATGTGTGCTTACATTTCCACTTAAATTTACACATGTGCTCTTGTCAAAATTTCAAAATATATGTATGTATGTAACTGAATTTTTGCAGGGTTTGTTGCTTCTTTTATCCTTGAAAAAGGTGAAACCACAACCTGTAAAAAAGCTTTTTTAGTATTTATGAACATAAGTACATACATACGTATATTTGTATGTACATACATGTCGTGTGGTGGTATATGAATCCCAGATTAGTAAAATGCCGATGATGTTATAATTAGCCGAGTGGCACGAAAAGAAATCGGCAAATTCTAGGAGTGGTTCCATCGCTTTGTGACGCCTATAAGTGACGATATTTAACATTCTGGACTCATAAGTCATTATACATCTATTCTTTAGATATATGTAAGTATGTACATAGGTATATGTATGACAGTTTGGCTAAAGTGCATGGCTTTTAGCGCAACCAAGCATACATACATATTTACAGCCAAAAACGATGGAAATTGTGCCATGAATGCCAAGTGGTTGAGTGCAACCTTGCGAGCCATGCCAAGGGTCAACTGCCTTCATACGAGGCAAGGATACAATTTAAGTACAACGGGTTGCACTTTTTCTGTGGTACTGCTAAATTTATTACAACTTGTTGCTGAATTGAAAATATTTAATAAAAATATTTAGTATTCAACTCATACCTGGGTACCGAGACGTTGAAGCAAAGATATGAAGACTTTTATCCAATCAGGAATCGTAAGGCTGTTATAACTGCTGATAAAAGATTGCATTGTCATACAACTTAGTCGCATAGCAGTCCATACAAATAGCAAAATCAATGCTAATGACTTGTTTAGCATTTCAAAAAAAAAAAAAGTTCGAAAATCGCTAGCTTGAAGTGGTATTATAAAAATTCCTGGTGCTCTATTATATTCTTCCTAATTAATTTAATAATAAAAGCTAGTGTTTTTCATGGTTCTCCATGCCTGTCTGCAACAACCTGCGATAGGCGCAACATTTTTCTGCTGCATAGTAATAGTATCCTGGCCCAGAGTGCTCTACCGAACAAGCACAGAGTAAAATAAACAAAAATATTTAAACTATGGTCCCGACAGCCGTTTTCTACAAAGTTTCTAGCAGTTTTTAGTAAATCTCCGGAATCTTTCTGGGAGTTAATTAAGTATTAATTATTATTATTTCATTACTTAGATAATTTACTTGAAATACAAGATTATTGACCTATATGTACTAAAATTTCACAATTTTTGGTATAAGCTTTAGGGTCAAGTAAAAATTATTTTCAATGAAAAATTACTAAAAAAATATAACGCGTGCATTCTGTGCCAGTAACACAAATATTTTAATTGGTTATTAATGTTTCTGTTTACTTTTTTGTTAATACAATTTTGAAATTTTTCGGTTACAAAATTTTCGTTGACATGCCGAATAGGCCTGTATAGAATAAACTATCGTCTCATTCTTAAGCTCTACCCAGAATTACAGCGGACGACGGTAAAGCGGTTAGTGGTAAGTGAACAGCTGTTCAGTTGTCATCTGTCGTTTTGATTTTGAAATTTTCATTAAAAATATTTTTACTTTTTCGGTAGGTGCGTATTTGTGAAAATAATAAAAATTATTACAATCAACACTCAATTAAAAATCAATTACCGCTGTCCGCTGCAATTCTGGATAGAGCTTTATGTGTATTTAAATGATAAAAGCTTTGGGTTTCTCGCTTAGAAAATTAGACGGATTCAAATTCAATTGTACGGGCCCGGGAAAATTTCAATGTCAAAGCTCCGAGGCTAGTTAGTCTAAATTGGTCCATCGCAGAACGAAAAAAATTCCTCATACGAGCTATTAGAAGACGAAACGATAGTGCACAATACTGCAGAACTCTTGGAGTGATAAGCACATACTAGGGGATAATGCGTTCGTCTTCGTATCCAATTGGTGTAACTTGTTTAAGAGTTGGAACGGAGGAAAATCGCGGGTCTCTAGATTTTCTTCGGGAATAGTCTTTAAATTTCTAATTTCTTTTATAAATCTATGGCAGACGATCTTCGTTTAACACAAAATAAAGTAATGTTAATTCAAGTTGTTTGAAAAGATCAAATCATCTCGTCATATTTCCAATAAGTCAGTCCAACAGAATGTAGAAGACCTCTAGCTTGAATCCATTATTATTTTTCTTTTTTGGGGTAACTCATTAAAATTGTGATTCTTATTTCGGCGTTAGCGTTTCTGCTGGCGATACATAGTACCCGTTTGAGTTTGGGTTTGAAATCACAGTCACCATTGAAACTTTCTCTCTTTCAATTCTTATGAGGAGAGAAGAATGTCTTTTTTTTGTATCAAGGGCTAATATTTTCCTTATTAAAGAAAAGAAAAAATCACTCTTTCATTTTAATCGTTTTATTCCATGATTTATCAGATTTAAATTTTGAAAATATTTGATTGTTTTTAAATTTGACCCGATGCTGTCGGTGGACTTTAGTACCCATTGTTACTTTTTCGTGGATATACTTAACAGCGTATTGTCTGCGAGAAGGGCAGCCGAATCCTCTCTACAAGTGTATGTATAGCTTACTCTACCTACTTGCCCTTCGAGTAAGAATGCGCGCTTGAGGACAAAAGGACAACTCTATTTGTCAATTACGTAATTTAAGAGTGTTTAAGTGAAACGAGGAGAGAGGAGAGTTGCAGCTCGGTACCTTGAAGGGTTTGAAGATTTCACATCCCAAAGCAGGCGATGACCCGTTACTTTTACGTGGTTCCGCACGACTCAAAAATGAGCATCAAGGGCCATTTCAGCGACTTCCCACAGCTCATAGTCCTATTTTCTAGCCAAGGTTCCCCACATAAACGGGATTCCTTGAGAGATCTCGTGTGAACCCGAAAGATGCAAGACTTCACTGTACGTTTTCGCACAAGTTTTTCCAAGAAGTCTTCAGCCATATCTGACGACAAATAAGATATTTATTAATTTGTCTGCTCCAGCGTGGCCAAGCTTATTATTTCATATCCTATATTGAGGATACATATTTTAAGGATTAAGCTGGAAAATTACATTTAAATGCTTCTAGGAGCTCGTGAGCCAACTACGTTGAATATTTTTGATAGTAACACTGAAATGTGATAATCCATAGATTTTTTATTTCAGAAAAGAAATTTACTCAGTCAAAAGTTAGTGCTATGTAAGTTAGTCTATGTAGATTGTTGCAATAAGTAGCGCAAAATATTGATTTTTCATCATAAATCTAGAACACATAATCTTAGGTATATTAAGTTATATGTATGTATGTATGCATAAAAAATGACTTTTATCTGACGGTTATGTAATAATAGCCCTGACCTTACCTTACCAAAGGAACACACAAGGGAAACATCGCAGGTAAGTCCACACACACACCCACATAAAGGAAGCAACCAGCGATAAAAGCACAAAACACAATACTCACAAATGGAGTACTTACACGTAAACACAATGTTGCGTAAAAATGGCAAAAAATAATACGCAACCAGCAAAATAAGGTGATTATAAACAAAACTTTGTAGACAAGGTTAAGTTGCCACTAATTGCGGGCCAACATGCAAAATGGCACAACGACAATGATGCGATTTGGCCTCGAGCGGTTGCTGAAGTGACTGACTGACTGACGACCGGTAATTGCACAAATGTTAGCAGAAGACATACAAATAATACCACACACATACACACACATGCAAACATGGGTAGGCAAACATACATTCAACCGAATTTACCGAAAGCCCAATGTATCCTGAACACAACTTGCAACCAACCGCAAATGTGTGTGTATGTACATTAGACCGCACCACATTAAAAACGAAGAAAGGAAAGTTCGCCGTACACACCACTGAGTCTGAAATATTTTTGCAAGCCACCATTTTACATTTATTTTAAAATTCGACTTTATTTGCCGAAGATAAGACAACAAATGTAAATACGAACCCTACGTTCGGCCAAAAAAATAATTTTTGTTTTAAAATTGCATTGCAAAAATACTTTAGATCATTCCTAAGTCTACGGCAAATTTCTTGTTTTCTGGAATGGTCTAATGTAGTACATACATATGTATTTGTACATATGGAGAGTAGTGTGAGACTCACTATCTACATTGTGGGGAAAATGTGAAATGTAATGGGGTAACCGTAATAACCGTAAACTGTAAAATCCCGTCATTCATTCAAGTGGTTGTGTGTAAATGTTTAAGTGACTGTATTAAAAGCAAATCGTACGCTCAAAAGTACATTGCCACACACACACAGACACACATAAGCCCGCAAATAATCATCAAAAAAAAAAAAAAAAAAGCACAACTGACTTACGCCCAATTTAATTACGCTCGTAACTATGGCCGCATTCCAACTATTCTCGATACGCAGCAACTCCTGGCGCGTCTCAACGCTCAGATAGCGAGGCTCATGTCCGGAGCTCTGCAGTAGAAAGCAATGTTGACGGCTATCCACCGTTTCCGATTCCTTCACAACGCGGAACATTGTCTGATAGACTTTGTAAGCCACCAATGCTTTCGACAAACCGGCGACATTTAACTGCAAATGGAAGAAGAAGAAACAAAGAGAATGGTATAGATATGTTCAAATTTGTGAAGACGCTACAGATAAGTGACTAAAAAGAAATGTAAAGACAAAAATAAAGAAATCAGTGCAATCAACTAATAAATTAGCAACGAGGCATTAAACTCTTGCACGAGGCATAATAGGAATCACATTGCTGAGGCTCAGCATTCATTTACCCGTACACAATTTGCTCCGCACCCGAAATCCTTTGTGCTTTTGGCGTAGTTTTTGATTCGCTTCATTTTCTAAAAAAGTATCGCACAGGGTGGCAAGGAGGAGATAGTAACTTGTACGGGGAAAATTGCGTTTTATTCGTTTTAAATTGATTGAAATGGCTGCTTCGTTTAATTTGGCGCAAACAAATGGCTTAAGTAAAGTGGAAAAATTAGCTGGGCGTAAAAAAAAACCTAAAGAGTTGAGTGTTGTTGTTTCAACTACTGGAGCGCACTAATTAGCTCGATTGACCCCCTCGAAACTCGTGCCTATATAATCGTATTTATTTTGTTTTCCTGCCTTTAATGTTTGCAAAAGTTTTTAGCTTTATTACATTTAATTGCGTCGATTGTGCGCGCGCTTATTTTTTTTTTAGATTTCCCGCATTTCGTGCGCACAGATTTGTTGAGCCTTGAAACAAATTCATAAATATGCGCACAATGCAACAATGAGACTTAAAAATAAGGCAGAATAAAAATAAAGCATTTATTGAGCATTTCACTAGATTTCAAACAATCGGCAAACTAATAGAGTTGCATACTTTCATTTAACATTTTGTAACATTTTTAATTTTAATTCGATTCTGAAGTTAGATTTCATTTTGAAGAAGTTTGGTCTGAAAACTCCTAGCGTTCACCAGCTACTTAGGGCCGTTTGCACCATGTCAGGTTAACGTTAACTGGATGTAAAACCTCCAGTTGAACACATCGACTGCTTTATCGGTCACATGCTGTAAGCAGGGAGCCGATAACGTCGATAGCGATTTTTAACTGGTAGCTAGAATTAACCTCGTTTTATTTTCAGAAAGGATATTTTTTAAGTTGGCTTTTAGGGCTCTAAAACGAAAGGTTACTTATGGCCATAAAATAACGGAATTCGATCTAAAATTCGAATGAAAACAAACAAAATAAAATCTGGAGGCCTATACATTTTTTGAACTCAACTACGAGTTTGTCCTGTAAAAAGGAGCCTTTAACTATGAAGTAGTATTTTTGGCTTTGATTTGAGTATTTATTACTGTGCATAAATCAATCAAAAAATGAGAACAATGATTCATTCAAAGGATATTTATGTAAGCACTAACTACGTTTGGCTACGCCCGAACATAGACTCATTTGGTCACTAGAATGCATAGCACAGTAGCACGAAACTACGGGAGTCTGGCTTCTAAATCGGCGACTGATAAGCTGAACGTGGAGGAAATGCTCGGAATGGAACTGAATCGCGGAAATCCCAAACCGATTTCAGGCATAAATGCCTATTGCACCAGTGCTGCACTTGATAGTTTCCTCTATGCTTGGCCTTAAAATTGCCTCTAGCCAAGTTGCACGCTCCAAAGAACCGCAGTCCGCAAATTAATCAACCACTTCGTTACTCTGAACAGTAAAGCTCTCAATAACTCATCAGTTAATAGTTGTTCCATTTTGTGACTTAAATAATAATGCTTATATAATAATGCTTAAATAATATTTTAAGAAGCACAAGAAGTTTTCAAAGGCTTCGGAGCAGCTGACGTTAGTGCACAAACCTCACTCGATTGGTAAACGATCGAAGTCAGCCATGCCGTCGGGCCGCAGAGACCACAGAGTCTAAGGTAGCCATCTCAAATGCCTCCTCAACATCAGCAATAAATTCCACTAACACTTTTATCCTTGTTACAAGTTAGTGCAGTATTGATTCAAAAGATTTTCCACCCTGGTAGGCATGTTGGTGCGTACTAAGGGGCGTGCTCCGAAGATTTTTGCTGACTTATAATCATCTATTGCGGTTTGTCAATGAAGATTTAGATGACAGACGGGCTCTAAACACCCTTTTTAGAGTACTTAAAATCTTATCTTCCCCCAACTTTGGCATCTCCAGATACACGCTACCCGAGCTGTCAAAAGAGGCCAGAGAAACCCTCACAACATCTTAGTCAGCAACCATTGTGATATAAACCAATTCGGTTTGGTGGCTCTTTCCGTCGTCTAAGTAACTTTCATACTTCTGCTTGTCTCCCCTAACTTTGTCTGCGCTCAGTGATATCGCGAAAAATACGAGTAAGTTACTATTACTGCACAAATTATGGTAAAGGCTGCAATGACTTTTTACAGCAAGTAAACAAATTTATACCCAGATATTTGCAGAAAGTGTATTAGATTCCCTTAATGAAATGTTTAGAATTAGAAAATGTATTGTTTTTAGTTCAAAACATTAGTTTAAACATAAAATACTGAGAGGTCTGTCAAAATTTATTTCAATTCTCATGTCTGGAAATTTTACAAATTTGGTGGTAAAGCAATGCGATGGATGGCCAATTGGTGAATAAAAATATTCTGTACTCAATACTTTTCAACTATTTGCCGCTTAAACCACAGTGCGTGCCTGCGCTGCCATTTTGTGGCATCAAAATTTTCATTCGCCTTGAAGCATCAACATAGTCCATGAGCATTTATAGCATAAAATAGGATTTTTATTTGCATAGCATGAGTGCTTTGAGATGTTTTTGCGAAAATATTTCAATGCAATATATATTTTTTTCCACTTCTATCTTGCACCACAACCAACGTAAAGCTTAGAGAGTGGCTGCAGGAAATGCAATTTTCAATTTTACTTTATTTTGATGTACTTTATTTCCGTTTCTGTTTTGTATTTTTGTTCTTATATCTTTATTTATATTTTCCTGTTTTGAAATGTAGCAGCGCAATGAAGGTTCAATTTTTTTTTTTTTTTTTTTTTATATAAGTATGGTTATCAATGAGATTTTCTTTGAAATCATTGCTTATTTACTTGCCACTGCATTTTGCATTGCATTGAAATTGCATGCACCGACACGAGTTGTGGTAAGTTGGCTGGCGCCATTTGGCGACCAGCTTGTGTACGGAAGTATGTATGTATGTATGTTTATATACATATATGTAGTACTAAGTAGATGTTAGAGCAAACGGAAGATGCTAATGTTAAACCCTTTCTGTCCTAGTTTTCTTTGCAATTTCCGAAAACAACTTTATTTTGTTTCAGCTCAAACCGAATGTACAAAGGTACATGCATAGCATGTTGTACATACGCATATCATTTATTCACTGTAAAGTCGACATGGCGTATACGTGACTGTATGTATGTATGCTCAAATCCAATCTATGTACGAGACTTGGTACTCATGCTGACGGCGAAAAGAACGGACGAGCATGCGAAAATTTCCTTTTTTGCGAAAATTTCGGTTGCTTTGTGTATAACTTATTGCATTATAGTTCAGATATATGTATGTATATATGCACGAGTATGTAAATACATACATACATACATATGAAAGGGGGAGCAGCCTTGGGGTGAAATCGATTTTTGAGCACCACCAACTGTTTGTGGTAGAACAAACAAGTTGAATTGTGGCAGTTAACTTTGTGAAGATAAGTGACAGATGCTCGATGCATTCGAAGCGTATTTATACGTAAATACATATTTACATAAAAAAATATGTGCATTTTCTTACAACAAAATAAATGGCTCAATGATAATCCAATTCACGTACTTTTACAAAATCCGTCCAATTTCGATTGCTTTAGTTTTAGGCTCTTATTTTTTGTTTTCTTTCTTACCAATGCCCAGGTATGCAACTAAAAATATAAATCAAAAATAACTCAAGGCTTGAACAGCTTTTAATGGAAAAATATTGTCCTGTCTTTTGATGACAGGAACCGTAATCATTATGAGTACTGATATTTAATCATTATTTCATGATTTGAAAATTTGCGATCAATAATGATAATAAATTTCTGTGTTTCAATTTTACAGTTTAGAAATGAAAATTTTGTATCGAGCTATCTTTTGTTTTATAAAATATAAAATAAGTTTTTCGAGTATTATTTTTTCGCTCTGAAATAATGATAATTTTGTGAATTGTTATTTTTTTTACCAAAAAGGTTATTATTATCTTATTCATAAAAAATAATTGTTATTTTTTAACGCTTATTTTTTTGGAGTTTTCCAATTTGCCAAATAAAATTTAAAACTCAACAATTAATTTTTATTTCTGAGAGATAAGATAGCGCTTAATTAAATTGTAAAATAATAAAATAAAAAAAAGAAAACATAAAAAGTAATCATTAATTTTTATAAAAAAAAAAAAAATTTATAATAAAAAAATAAAAAAAGAAAAATTTGATTTCAGTTGATCAAAAAATAGCAATTAAAGTTCCAGTGAACTCGATGAAGGAGCTTAATGAGAAGATAGGGTGATCTCAGAAATCGGAGCTATAACTTCTACACTATGTAAGATTATTGTTGCTTTTCCATAATATTTTTCATTTCAAATTTCCTCAAGCTAAATAAAAAAATGTTAAGTAATTGTTCCTAGAGCAAATAAAATAACAAGGAACAAATTCTCAAACCAATCATTATTTCAGAGTGAAAAAATAACACTCGAGAAATGAATTTTATTTTTGATGAAAAAAATAACTCAATATATGATTATCTGTATATTTATATAAGACATGAAATAACATGTATATACTCGAATCTGATTACATTTTTCTTCTTTTTTTATTGGCGCTGTAACCGTCCATCGATTTTGGCCGAGTCCAAAAGAGCACGCCAGCCGTTTGTTTGCTCTATGGACACTTATTTTTTTTTTTATTATAACTACGTGCATACATTTTTTAAAACAAAACATTTTTAGTTACTATAAGATTTCTTTAAAATTAATGAGGTGAAAATGTAAATAGACCATTCTTTACGCCACACACTTTTTATGGTTAATTTCTTCATGCAACCAAAAAAATTGC